GGAGTTAGCGGCCTCTCGCAAGTGGCTCCGATCTCCGAAATGGGTATGGAAAGCGAAGTTGTTGTCGTTGCCTCCTCGCTGTGCGGCACAACCTCCTTGAAGCTCTGATTGGGGGGCATGACGACGAGCATGTTAATAGATATAAGCAGCGGATGGACTAGTTTCGGGTCGAGAACCATCAGCGGCACCTCCTCGTTCTTCTCAAGACTCAGCGAGCAGATCTCAGAGGTTTGTGTGAAAACTGGCTGGCGTTGAGCATTGATCGACGTGACAGTGGTGCGGATCATGAACTTGCGCTTGGTCTGCAGGCTGAGGACTCGCTCGTGCTCGTGCCGGTGGTGGCGCCTAATGTTCAGTCTGCGCGAGTCCATGATGAGTATGAGATCCATGCCGAAATTGAAGCCCGTCCAGCGCCACTTCTGGTACCCCGGCTCGGTCAGGAGGCGGCCACATCGCATACAGTTCTCGAAGAACTGTTCGTCGTCCAACTGCTGTGGACTACTGTGGGAGCAACAAAAATTTACAATCATCTCTTGAGACTGGGCGATGGGATAGACTTACGTGTCCTCTTGGCCGTGATCGATCCTTAGCAGGGCGTCCCAGTGACTGTGGATGTGGCTGTAAAGCCACTCCTTGGGTATTATGTTGTCGTTATAGATGATCTTCAAGTCCATGTAGTGGTTTGTGAGGTACTGGGTGCGGAGCTTCTGGAAGACTGGAACAAAGGGCTGACCCTCGGGCGTGGCCAGAAAGGAGCGTTCCTCCATCCGGCTGGTGAAGTACGTCCACTGGGCAACATCTACGCTGGGTGTGTGCGTATCTACGCCAGCGTTGACCAGTCGATCCTGCGTCTTCTGCGCCTCAGCCCGCTGCACCGGGTCTTCGGGATCGTGGTCGGGGTGCAGTCGCAGGAACATCCACGTGCGCAGCAGCGTATACAGGGAAAACTCTGTTTGCATCACGTACAGGTCTTGGCTGGCAGTCAGGGCGGTCATCAGATCAATGGAGATGTGCCGCAACAGGTTGGGTTGCTTGCTGTAAATGCTAAGTAGGTTGATCTGGAACCACTGGAAGGTGGACTTCTTCACCCCCACCACTCCGTACTGGCAGGCCGCCTCGTAGTAGTGGATGGCCGTCTCCGCATTGATGGTGTCCACCATCACCTCGGCGCACTTGTCGATGATGCCGTCCAGGTGGAATAGCGTGGCCGTGGCCAGCACTGGTATCACATCCTTTGGATCTATCTCGATCTCGTCCGAGTACATGGAGCCGAAAACCGCATCCAGGCTCTCCACGTTGATGCGGTCGTCGGGAATGGTGATCTGCACAAAGTTCTGTTGCGCCTCCTTCCACGTGCCATTGAACATCGTGTAGAAGTAGGGGCTCTGACTCAAGTACACCTTGTGCAGGTGCCACACCTTGTCCAGCACCATCACGGCCACATCCGAGTTCTTTTCCTCCTTGAACAGTGCCTTGTAAATGTATTGCGTGGTCGTCAGCAGTTTCTTCCTGGCGGTGGAGGCAATCAATAAATTAGCAAATGGAACCACAAACAGTTGGGCTCGGGCAGCTCCCATGCTTACTTCTTGGGCAGAGTGGTACCCAACTGCGTCTGCTCATCCTGGCCCAGGGCGGAGTCCGTGCTGCGCTTCCGCTTCCGGCGGTTGCCAAACACCTCGGCCACATTGCTCTGCATGGATCCCATGATCTGACCCATGGCTGGAGTCCGCTTCCTGGCGCTCGATTGTCTGAAAGTATTCGTTCAACCTATCAATACATGTGTGCGTATGTTGCGTGTGTGTTGTGTGTGTGTTGTGTTTGTTTACAAATATTCGAGGGGGGAAGATTTGGGTCGAGTTTATCGATTTGACAGGTTGCGTGTGGATAGTGCCTCCCCAGGCCTGCCTACCTGAATGGAAATGGAACCACTTGACCCAGTTTCGCTGCAGCAGGGCGCCCCCGCAGCTGCTTAAGCGAAAACCTTTTCCTCGTGGGCGTCGAGTGGGTGCCCAGCATAAGCCCTAGGTCCACTAGAAAGTCTGTTCATCAATAACTCAGCTCAACAGATGGTGATGTCATCATCATCATCACCATCACCAACACCGTCATATGCAGTGCGCTTCGAACTGTTCCGACAGTTGCAGTCAAAGCGCACATGACAAAAGGGACAAGTTGCACAAATCTATACGATTGGGATCATTTTTGCGTAGTTCTAAAAGCAGTTCAGTCCCATAAACGAGCCTATTTCATATCTGAAGCACGTCTCTTGCTGTCCCTATTCAATCAGGCTCCATAAAACTATAAATAGCTGCAATATATCTATGAAGCACCACCCCACTGTATCTGTGAACATTTTCATGTAATTTTGGGGGGATGTTGGATATATAATTAGAACGAGATCAAACGAACTCGTTTTCGTGGCGTTGTTGTTTATGTTTTCGCGTTCAGCTGGAGCTGGATGAATGTTGTAACCATGTCAAGGCCGTTGATTCCAGTGGTTACACTGCCTATAAAGAAACACACTCTCATATTTGGGCAATGCTGATTGTCTCTATCAGAGGAATGTTGAAAATACGGTTCGAAGTGTGCTTTGTTGACCCCTAAATGGAATTAATCTTCTGCACAATCAACAGAAGAATACAGAGTTTAATCCAGTCAGTTTATTCAGTTTCCTAATCATTAATCGGATCTGACTCGGCGGCTTTCAACACCTATATTGTGTTAACACCGCGATTCGCATTGATATGGATGGCCAGACACGGTCGATGGTCGCCTTCAACCAACCGACTTATCCAGCCAGCCAGTCCCATCTTGAACTCACATTTCAATTATGTATGTGATATGGAATGGTGTTAGGGTGGGAGCAGCAGCAGATGGAGGTTTGTTTTGGTGCGGCGCAGTTCCGAAAACAAAAGTAAACTATTGGGAACCGGTTTGCGCAGCCATACACATTTCTTATAAGACCAAAACAAGAAAGGCGATTGCAGCAGATTCAAATTACGTCACCAGTTAGAGGCACAGATACACACACACACTGAGAGAGAGAGAGAGAGAGAGCGAGGGAAACGGAGAGATAGAGAGACTCCAAACAATTGTCGTTATATTTGAATGACGATGATATCACACTGCAAATATGATATGGGAAAACCCTAACTAGAAAAACCAACTAAATGGGAGAAAAAAAAGAAGAAAAAAGTTAATGTAGCCCAAGGAGTAACGGCTAATTAACGTGAGTTTTCGTCGAAGAAGCCAACAAGCTCGGGCGGGATTCGAACACACGAACGAGTGAGAACGAGCGCGATCGCCCCTACCTAAAACCGCATGAGAAATTTCCAAACGTCTAGACCGCATAGCCACGCCAGCTAGAAGTTTGATCGCTTCCCAGAGCAAACATACATGCTCATGTATACATATGTATGTGTCGAATAGATATTACACCGAAGAACAGCTGTTGTTGCGGTTGATCCCAACCTGATTGGCACTCTCCAAATTCGCACTTATTTACCACGGGCTGTTGTTTGGCACTGATAACGCCATAGGCCCCACTTTGATATGGCGAGCACACACACCATCTATCTGATCAGCCACCCGCGTGGACGCTTTTGTTCTCTCTTTCTCTCTGATTCCATGGCGTTTCGTAGAGTGCAGTTAATCTCTGCCTCTATAAATAGGAGACAAAAGTGAATTCGGAGTATGACGTAGTGCAGAAGTGTGGGACAGGGGAGGAAAGGCAACTAGTGCGTTTGCTGAGAAACAGCAACAGCGCGCAGCCAGCCAACGCGCAGGAACGAGGAGAAACAACAATCGAACGACGCAAAATGATGGGCACTAGGGTTCGCGGGGCGAGGGAAGGCATAGGCAATGGCGGTGGTGGGCACTGAGATAAAAGGAAACTTACTGTAAAAGTGCAGTTACAGTAACGCGATTTTATATAACTGCAGTTGCACTCCACGTTCACTTTTGCTTATTTGCTAAAAACACCAATTAAAAACAGGTTTCTCTGTGTCTTTTAGTAGGACCTATATCAGTTCATATTTAAAAGCAAATGTTTATATTTGTATTTTGTACGCAAGTTCATGCACCAACCCCAAAAAAAAACAGTAACAAGGGTAGTAAAAAGTAATTATAAGCGCGGGATGCGGAGAGATGTTTTGTACGGTATTTGCAATGTTTATTGTGCGGGGCGCGTATTGAAGATTTCTCACGATTGAATTTTTTGTGTAGACCAGCTGGGCCCCAACGTTGATAATTCGAGCCCCACAGTATCGTTAAAATATACGGTCCGACTCTCCGAAATATACCAAAATATACCGCCTTATTTTCAAAATATACCATAAATATACTGACGAATTCAAGTTCTATTTTACATATTCCTCGTTTTCTTTCTTCCGTCTAATATTACTAGCTAGATAGATCTTTTAGCCCTGCCCACATAATTTTATCCAACTAATGCATTAATTTTCTATACAATTGGTTAGTTTTTAGTCCTTGCTTTTATTGTATTTTGACTAAAACAAGGTTTAAACAAAATAGTTCAACAAAAAATCAGTCGCAATGTTGCTGGTATTTAAAGACATGATGCGTGTATAGGCCTTTTTGTACCCTATTTCGTTAATTTTATATGTAGATCAAACGCAATTTATTAAGACCTTTTCTCAAATTTATATGTTTTTGACTAATTCATGTGTATTATTAGTATCTTGTATATATTTATCTCGATCCTGAGCCTTGGAAGACAAACGTATTCACAATTCTATAATATTCTCGTTTGGGAGCGTACGCTATAAATTCGTTTGTATGAGCTGACACATCTATATTTTGTATGGGAAATGCTTCTAGTCCTGTGTGCCTTGAACTTGCAGTCTTTATGGAATTATATTTGATAGAAAATATCAATAAATTTTGACGAAAACTATCACGATATACCTTCGATATACCTTCGATACCTTGTCGTAGCTGTCATCTACAAAAATTTGAAAAGAGCGGCAACGCTACCAGAGGCGTCTGAAAAAAGCGCGAATCTACAATTGAAAAAAATAAAATCTGCAAATCAGCAATAAACTTGGAATATTCGGCGACCGTCACACCTTAACATGAGCGATTCGTATGAAGCACCCGTGCGCGAAAAGCGCTCATTTCTCATGGCTCGAGATCCCAGCGTTGACCGGCGCTGTCGACCAAGACCGGAGAAAAAGTTGCGTCTGTTCGATGATATACATGAAGCCACGGAGAGCACAGACGGCTCAGACTCTGAGTCAGAGTGCGCATCCAGTTGTGGAGACTATGCAACCAGTGTTCCGATTGCAGAAGATAGCAGTGTCGCGGATACTGGGCCACAGGTCTTTTTGCGTCTGCGTCCCGTGGGTGCCGCCTCCAAAGCATACTCGGTATCAGAGGATGGAAAAGTGCTGGTTACCAGCGCAAAGAGTGAAAACACCAGCAACAATGTCAACAGAATGGAAAAGCACTTTGGATTCACATCTATATTCGATGGGTCCGTTGGGCAGCGGGATGTCTACGACATTTGTGTTGGTCCCAGGATTGTGGAAGAAGAATGCGTTACCATAATGACGTATGGCACTTCAGGCTCGGGAAAAACGTACACATTGCTTGGTATGTTCGATATTTTACTGTCTGCACCAAACGGCAACTGGTCATAATGTTTTTTCCCACAAAGGCGATGATGTGCTTGCTGGTGTTATACCCCGCGGCCTAGAGCACATATTCACCATCTACCTGGAAAACTTGTACCACTCACCCAAACTAAAACTGGTCAACGGCTGCATTGAGTTCCTTCAGGACGAGACCACGCTGCGGGAAATGCAAATAAGCAAGAAACTGCTTAACTTGTGCCCGGATATTGGCGGGCATCACGAGCGACTGAAGGAGGCGATTCAGGGGGATCACACCTTCGAGACAAAGGCCGACCCGAACGTCTCGGTAATGATTTGGGTATCATTTGTGGAGATCTACAATGAACTGGTATATGACCTATTGAGCATACCGCCGCGTCAAGAAAATCTTGGTGCTGTTCCGCGAAAATCCATGAAGATCTCCTGCAATAAAGGTCAGGTATATATCAAGGGCCTGACGACTGTGTTCGTAAGAAGCAGCGAGGAAGCCTTGCGGCTGCTGCGGCTGGGACAGCAGCGTTCCACTTACGCTTCGACCTCGGTGAACGCGAACTCTAGCAGATCCCACTGTGTCTTCATCGTGGATGTGTTGAAGTACAACAGCTCGGGAATGACCACTCAATGTTCGTACAAGTTCTGCGACCTCGCGGGCTCGGAGCGTGTAAACAACACGGGCACCATCGGGTTACGCCTCAAGGAGGCGAAAAACATCAACACCTCCCTAATGACTCTGGGGCGGTGTCTGGACGCGGCCAGTACTTCACGGAAGAAGCCAAACACTGAGGTCATACCATTTCGCGATTCAAAGCTTACCATGCTGTTGCAAGCAGCCCTGCTCGGAAAGGAACGCTTGGCCATGATAGTGACTGTCACACCGCTGGAGAAGTTCTATGAGGAAAACCTGAACGTGCTCAACTTCGCCTCCATAGCGAAGAATATCATTTTTAAAGAGCCTTTGATAAAGCAGCATAGTACACGATATTCTGGTTTCTTTGACAACTCTAAAAGGAATACCCAGTACGAATACATCAAAGAGATTGAGGAGGATAATATCAGGTATAGAAATCTAATGAGCTCATTTCGGCATAATAACACATTGTATAATACACTTTTTACCGTAAAGCCTGCGGGAAGAGATCGATCGATTGAAGTTCGACCATGTACTGAAGATGCAGCTGCTGGAGGAGAAGCTTCGAAAAGAACTTTCGGAGACCTACCAAGAATTGATGCGGGCAAACAAAAAGCTGTGGGAGGAGGAGACCGCGAAGAAACGTCTGATGGCAGAGCGGGAGTTCGAGTTTAAGGTTTGTACGCCTTACATAAGATGGTTTGCCTTTTCATTGCCACTAAACAATCGCGTATCATTGCAGCTGGGATCACAAAAGCGGCGGTACGAAGAGCAAATCGAGGATCTCAAGGATGAAATCGAGGAACTCAAATCTCCCTCAAGCGAAATCGACAGTATGGACGAAAAGGAGGATGAGCCCAATCCGTCCATAGAAATACTCGATGATGAATAATACATTTAATATTTGCCATGTTGTATTTTTGTTATAGTCTAAATAAAATCACTTTTATGAAATCTAGTAGTGTGTATTCTGAGAACTTTTCTATCCTAATCATCCTCGGGCTTGGGTCAATCTCTGTTTAAAAGGTATTTCAACGATATTTTGCAGGTAGTGGTCTCCTTACAAAGACCAGGAATGAGTAACCACTAAGACATATACATATATAATTTTCAGAAATGGTCTTTCTAAATTACGTTTTAAAGCAGCTTGGAAACAGTATCTTTATATAGTAGGGTATACACATAGCCAAAGGCTGACAAGCAACAAGACTTTAAATACCCGCAACATTGACGTTACAACATTGTGACTGTTTTTTGTTTGTTAAAACTTTGTTTTAGTCAAAATACAATAAATGGGAGTACTTAAAAGTAGTTAATCTTGTAGAAAATGTATATATCAATGGGATAAAACTATGAGCAATAGGAACAATTACGCTCTAACTTTTTTTGTTTGACCTTTTTCGCTAAAACCTTTTTTTTAGGCAAAATCTCATAAAAGCAAGTATTTAAAATAAGCCAGTCAAGTAGAAAGTTGAATCAGTAACCATATAAAATTATGTGGGCAGGGCTAAAGGATCTATCTAGCTAGAAATATTATACGGAACATCAGAAACGAGTAATATGTATAATAGAACTTGAATTCGTCAGTATATTTTCGGTATATTTTTAAAATGAGACGGTATATTTTGGTATATTTCTGAGGGTCGCACGGTATGTTTTTATCACACTGCTGCGCAGTGTTGCCATTTTAGCCTATTTAAGGCTAGATCTAGCTTATTTGAAAACGGAAAGGCTTGAAAAATTATGAAAATACTTATAGCCTTAAATCTAGCCTTTTTTAATTTCACTCTGTTTATGTTTGCCTTTTTATATCCTACATATATTTTTAGGCAAATCGAACCTCTTGAACAAACCTCTTGAAGAAATCGCTTTATTTGCCATTGAAATTTTAAGTCTACCGTGGTCAAATGCTGCCATTGAACGTGTAATCAGTCAAATAAATATCGTTAAGACCAAGCTTAGGAACAAAATGACTGTTAAATCCTTAAACTCAATATTAAATATAAGGTTTGTTTTAGTAATATTTAATTGTCTGATGAATACGACTATAATTCTTTTGAATTTTACAGATGTGGATTGCGCCGTCATGGCAAATGTTGCCCCAACTACCAATTACCGGAGAAATATTTAAATTTAATACGTTCCAGTAATAGCGAGTTGGATAAAATTATAACACAATTAGAAATGTGTTTTTTTATTTTTAGCCTATTTTTTTGCCTGTTTTTTAAAATTTTTAGCTTGTTTTAGCTTGTGTTTGTGTGAAATCTAGCGAGTTGGATAAAATTATAACACAATTAGAAATGTGTTTTTTTATTTTTAGCCTATTTTTTTGCCTGTTTTTTAAAATTTTTAGCTTGTTTTAGCTTGTGTTTGTGTGAAATCTAGCTTGTTTTGACGCTCAAAATCTGGCAACACTGCTGCTGCGCAGTTCATTAAAAAAATAGATTTCGAATTCTGTGCAAGTTGCATTAACAACTAGATTAGTTTTATACAACACTCCAAAGGTACATCTAATAATAAGTGCTCAAACGAAAATGATAGTGAAAGCAGAAAACCATGAGAAACAATTGTGCATATTTCCAAGCAGACATCAAATAAAGTGGCACACCACATAAACCAAGGCATATACACACACACACACACACACATTGACATTGACTGTAACCGCAGCCATATGTACTATATATGCATATGTGTACTTATGTATACACTTAAACGAGTAGATTGTGAAATTATAAACATAATTAATGCCTGGTGATTTGTTTTTGTTGCAGCTTGTGGCACCCACCTCTGTCTGCGGGGCGTGAAATGTTAAGGATTCACGTCAAAATGGGTCCGCAACGTAGTCATCATCCCAGCAACAACAACAACAGCAATGGCACCGCCACCAGCAGCAATGGCAATCGCCAGCACAAGGAGTTTACGTGCTGTTTTGGTCTGCATGTCCATACGGCCACCCTGATGATTGGATTGTGGCATTTGGTAAGAAACTCAATTACCACCCTCTGACCTTTACCCCACCCACACACACAGCTGCAGCAGGCTCCTCAAAATGTGTATACACAGCTACATTCCCACGCATGCAAGTTGTTGCCGCTTCATTTTTGACCCTTTTCAGTGTCAAGGAAGGGAAAAATCAATCGACCATGCCTGCGCAGTTCCTCCAAAACTGCACGCATCCAGCAGCTCTAAAACTTTCGCACTGCACACGTCCAACTTTCCCTGCGTGGGTTTTCCTCCCCCTGTGACGTCAATCCGTGCGTCATCTGATCGGCAACAGTGCCAGCGAAGATGGGACTTAGCATCCCACTATGGAAGTGTCGGTCCGGATCCGTGCCTGGCAAACGGTATAGTGCGATTACACAAGCCCTAAGGTGGGCCTTTTGTGCAGCCCCCGGCTGAAAGTAGCCCCTACTACAGCCCATTGTGGAGCGGTGTCGCCTACACATGACTTGGCATAAGCAATTGGCATAATTTGTGTATTTCAGTGCTCGTTCCGCCTCTTATGATTGGGGTCCCCTGCGACACGCTTTCATAGCAGCTCGCCGCACCGCACCACACCGCCTCACGTTTTGCAGTAACAAATCGTTACATGCGTCGCGAAAATGATTACAGTTTGAGCAGCAGCAGCGACTGTGGGGCTCTGAAACCTTGTCGATGGTGTTCCGTTTCACTTCTTATCAACTTCAAGTGCAATTTAATACCACTTCGGGTCCCAGTTTCCCCTTTTCTTTGTTTGCCCCTCCAATTCGAGTCGAGTATCGGCTGTTCAAACGCTCTTATTTATTTATTTATTTGTGTAGCGTATAGCCGCGAATTTAATATTCCGATTGGATCATCATATAGTGATGCAGTCATCTTGTGACCATCTGACTGATCCAACTTGGTTAAGGTATCCAAATTAGAATTATAACAAACAAACCATGCGCCTCCATTTAAGTGTCGCATTAAAGGTCAATTTGCAGTCAAAACAGAGCCTTGAACCTGATGTGATGTCTAAGCACGGGCCATATGTGCAAACAGTCACCGCCAGATACCAGATACCAGATATCCGAATCCATGAGCTGTTCCATTTATTTTTAAAAATCCACGTACTCGCCAGATGATATGCAAACATTTCCCCTCAGATATGCATACAGGCGAGTATGTACCACATCTTTCTGTTCGGTCAACAGTTTCAACAGCGAGACAGAAGGCCGCCATAAATTGGAGAATTGTTAATTCAACTGTCACTTATCAGCACACAAATCGCAAATCAAATCTACTGAAGTTTCCTTATCTGTTGTGGTTTTTTTTTCTTGCCAGCTCGCCTGCCAGCTCATCGTCATGATAAGCCATAGAATACCCAAACACCTGCGAGATGTTCAAAAAATGTGTTTAATGAATCTGTATCTATCTCCTACGATATGAGCTGGCATTTGCCTTTCCAGTCATTTTGAAATAATATTAAAACTACATTTTTCGCACAAGAGCAATTTGAAATGATTGCTCCTTTCCAATGAGATCGCTTCCAGAAGAAGCATTCGACAGAGCTTGTGCAAGATTCGAGTGCAATGTACCACGGAGCAGAGAGCGATTACGAAGAATCTGATTCCTATTCAGCGAGCACCCCTTTGAGCTATGACGAAGAAGAGAGCCTGGTGGAAGAAGAGCAGGAGCAGACGGAGGAGAGTAGCAGCTCTGGGGACGTGGAGAGCGAGGAGAATGGCCTAGTCCTGCTGTACAAGAGCCCAGCTTTTAATTGTCATTCGTCCCCGTCCTGGCGCACGAACGCTGGCGAGCCTAACGAGCGCACCCTGTTCTCCTTGGGCTATGCCGCATCCGACAAGTGGTCGACACTGGAAGCTAATCCTTGCCAAATGAAGAACAAGCCCAATCTGTATACACTGCTGCTGAAGCTGGCCAAAAATCGTTTGAGGACCGATTCGGTTGTCAGAATCGGCGAATGTCAGTTCCCAGTGCATCTCATGGTTCTGCAGAGCTACTCACAGTCGTTTCGCGATACCGCCCACGATATTGAATTGGAGCTTCCAGAGGAGTACGTGACCGCAAGGAGTTTTGGTCTTATCTACGAATGGATGCTTACGGACAAGCCGCTCCTGCCTCGATTGGGCCTGCTGGAGGTCCTTCGAGCGGCAAAGTTCTTGAAGATCACACAGCTGGTCCGCCAGTGCGAGCATTGTCTGATAGATGGCTGCAAAGAGAACGCAGCCGCTTTGCTGTACGTGGAGGCGAGGCGCCTGAACATGGAGCGATCTCAGCGACGTTTCCTTCTGCGAATTTCAAAGTTCTTTCTGACACTCGTGGCCTCTGAGGAGTTTCTCCTTCTGCCGCTGAAGCCGCTCCTTCTTCTGCTTAATTCGAGTATGCTCGGTGTCAACTCGGAGCTGGAGGTCCTAATGTCTGCAGTGCGCTGGTTGAATTGCCGGTGGCCTCAGCGCCAGGACAAGGTAAAAGAGGTCGCATCTTGTGTACGTTTTGCTTTGATCGCGCCCTGGCATTTGGTACGACTCCAAAATCCGGAATTATCTACCTTGGAAGTGCTGAGGGTTGTCACTGACCCGACTGTGCGTCAGCTGATCCACGATGGCATTGCCTACACAACCACGCGAATCTACTACGGCGCCGACCAAGAGGGGTTCAAAAATCATCTCCTCAAATCTGCCATGAGCATACCAGAGCCAAGGACTTGGATCTTCGACCCCGCCTGCAGCCATCACCATCGCATTAACTGCAAGTTGGCACTGGACTTTTCCTACCAAGCGTTCATTGGATACCTCAACCGCCTGCAGGTCCAGCCCAAGCACTACTGGAAATCGCTGGAGTCGGCAGTGGCTCCAAACGGCGTCGAGTGCCTTAGCTGCCACCACTTAACCCAAAGGTTGCAGCCCTTGGCCCCAGCTGACCATCGCTAAACCCGTTTCCGTTGTATTCATTTGTTGCGAAAATTTTTAATATATATCTTGATACCCATTCCATTGAATTGATCCTGTCTTAGCTCATTGTTCCCACATAAGCTTATACGATGGTATAATACAGCGTAGTATTCATGTATCCGTCTCCGCCTCACTTGCAGTTCCTCAACATTTTGGCCCTGAGCGTTCTTGCGGTCATCTGGCGCAACCCCGAGATGATGGACGAGTTGGAAAGCGGCAGCCATGACTACACTGTGGATCTCAATGCACCGGCCTTGCCGACGCCCCTGAGCAAAGTGGATCCGCCCTACGCCTACCGCGACCATTCCCTCAACTATCGTAAGCGTGAGCGTAAGCAGTGACACTGAGTGGATCCGTGGATGAATTACTAATTATCGTTTTCGGTTTCATTCTATGCTTGTAGAGAACTTTGACATGGGCGGACTGGTGTGCACCTGCATGATAGCCATCACACTGATGATGATCTATGGAACCATCAAGGGGAAACCGTCGCATCTGTTGCCCTTCTTCTGTCTGCAGCTGTTTGACTTCGCCATAACGACGTAAGATCATTTTAAATCGCTTTGTGGGCAACCTCCCCAGCTCTTTCTTTCCCGTTGCAGCCTCACCGCCGCTGGCTATCTGTGCTACCTACAGGCGATCCATCGCATCATTGCCGAGTCTCACCGCTTGCCCTGGCGCGAGAAGCTGCTGGAGCTGCCGCCTGAGGAGCTTGTCGTGGTGGTTCTCGTCGTTTTCGTGTGCATTGTATTCCTGAAGGCCTACTGCATTGGCATTGTCTGGCGCTGTTACAAGTACCTGACTCTGCGTCAGCAACATATCCGCACTTTGTTCCCCTTCCTCGAGACGGGATCCGGGATCAATGGTGTGGGCGGCACCTTTGGGGCTGAGGAGCGTGCCTACTCCACTCTGTTGCCCAACTATGATGAGGCCATTGCTCAGTACTTGAAGCAGGCACCGCCGCCATCCTATCAGGTGGCCATGTCCAACTACCAAGAGGATCAGGCCGGAGAAGCTGGCGGTGCTGAAGCAAATCCTGGTGTGCCCCCCCTGTTCGTGGCTCTGGATGCAGTGGCCACTGCAAACGCCGCCTCTATTATGGATGATAATGATAACATGGATAACAACAACGAAATGCCGAACAACAACAACACGATGCACGTGAATGCCAACACGCCTCCAATGCGACGCAGTGATGTTGCCCTTGGCCCCATTTCCGATGACGATGATGATCTGGAGGTGATCGACGCAGGCCTAGATACGATGGAGAGCATTCCACCGCCGCCGCCGTACAACGATGTGGCCGATGCCGAAGTGCAGGTGCCATCCCCGTCCGCGGTAGATCGTCAGGTCAACATAACACCTGGGCGCAATGAAAGCCAGGCCTAAGTTGTGATTTCTTTAAGTTTGTTTCTCACTATGTAACCGTGATGTGAGCGCGTGCTCGCATTACTAGCATCCACATCCTCGTCTTGCCCAGCCGCACAACGTTTTTTTGGTTATCATTACTTGGCTCATTCCGTTTCCTCCATCAATCAGGTGCACTCTTGCGTTTATACATATATGCTCTATATACCTCTATCTATACATATATAGTATGTATTTATGCATAAATGTGTTGAAAAGTGTTTTAGCAAATGAAAAATTTGAAGTAATTCCCATTTATAGCCGCCGCTCATTATATTGTTGTTTAAGGTAAAATGAAAACGCAAGCAGATTGTCTTTATGAATGCATATATGCTATATATATATATATATATATATATATATGGTTGCTTCTCTTTAAATTTCCAAAACCAAAAAAAGGACCGTAACAAGGATTTTGGTGTGGCCCAGAAAAGCTTCAATTCCTTTTCGGCCACGTCCGATATTCGAAAGTAGATGCAACAACAACCTGTTATAAACGTTTTCATTCGTTTAACCATGAGAATTTCAATTAGATTAAGCCCAAGTAGTTCGTTACCAGATAAATTCAATTGGCGCCCGCAGCCCACAGCCCGAAAGCCCTGTCTCTGGATATTAATATGGATGTTCTTTGTGTTAAGCTATCTCATAAGACTCTTATGCATATTATATACTCGATACTTGATACGGAACACATGGCGTACATAATCCCATCACTTACGATGCTATATATCACGCGGATTTTACTATTGTGTATCAATTAACAGCAAACGAATCGTTTTATGTGTGTACGATATCTGTCTATGTATACTGTATACTAAATATGCAAAGATATTCGAATAAATATTAGTTTGTATTTAATTCAAAATGTAATTCCTTGCATTATCAATTGCGGATCGTGGAAACGATTTCACATGCGAGAAATTGTGAGACTTCTAGGAAATATGAAAGGAATCATTAAATGAATCACATCCCTCTCGTGGGTGCCCAGTCCGATCGATCACGGCAATCGGACGCTTCCAGCTCGTCTGAGGCCGTGGTCGTGTAGGTGACGGAGTTCTACGGTGAGTCAATCAGACTTTCCATGACTTGATAACGATTCTGAGCTCTTCTCCTGGCCCACACCAAGCGATCGTAGAATTCGAGGGAAGTCCCGCAGCTAAAAATACCCGATGTTGTTTTTCATGTGTGTATATTGTATTTTTAAGATTTTATTTGCATTCAAGTTTTTTTTTGTGTTTTTTTTTTTTTTTTGCTTTTCATCGACCTTGATCGCCTAAGCCTTCCAGTTGGCCCAGGTGCGGATCTCGTTCCAGATGTTGGTGCCGGGGCACTCGGTAGCGCTGACCTGACGGTGGCCGTACAGAGTGTAGCCGGAGATGATCTGGCCGCGAGAGACGGCGTCGGCGAGGAGACCCTTGGCGGCGGTGATCTGGGCGGAGGTGATCTTGTCGGTGTTGTAGTTACCCAGGAAGGAGATGCCAATGGACTTGGAGTTCCAGTTGGTGGCATGGGCACCCACCACGTTCCAGCCGCGACCCTCGTACACGTTGCCATCGCCGCCGATCAGGAAGTTGTAGCCAATATCAGCCCAGCCGAGGGAGTCCATGTGGTATGCCTGGATGTTCTTCAGCTGGGTCTGGCAAGCGGCTTGGGTTGTGCAGTAGTTGCCGGCGGTGTGGTGGATCACAGCGTAGCTCAGGGACGACGCCAGGGTAGTCTTGCTGGTGGCCGAACGGCCTCCCCACTGCGACTTGCTGATGATGGTCACACCCAGAGCGGCCTGGGCGCAGAAGAACACAGCCAAAAGGACGAGAGCTTTATTTGCCATTGTTGAAGATCGATTGTGCATTGTTCCACTCAATGCCGCCTTATATACCCCATCGAATCGAACCCGAGCAGGCTTATCGCCAGCGATGAACAGGCGCGCGAGTCAGTTGAGTTCGCGCGAGCTTAAATCTGATATGGCGGCTATCTGGAGCACATCCTGATATGGCCGTAATGACGACCAAATCGGACTTCTAATCAGCACAAGTGGCACTAATTAATTTGTCTAGAAATTCCCTGCAGTATGTTTTATACCGTGCGGCCTTTCGAAGACAAGACCTATAAAAGCTCAATATTCAAAGACCTTTTATAGGAACAGATGTAATCCGGATAAATCTGTTGTTTTTCGAAGTAAAAGTCTACAGGACATTGGGCCTTGAAGCTCGACTGAAAGCTTTCCTATAAAAGATGACGCAGTCGCAGTGCCATGGCAGCGTAATGGAATAATAATCGTGTAATTTTCTCCACAGACAGACTACAATTTACGATTTGCACATTCCAAGGGTGTAAGATATGTGGACATCATACGATTTTGAAATCTGCTTCACGCTATAAATTGTATTTATTTAGTTTTTTTTTTTTGTTATCAATGTGATATTATGGGTTTTATACTAATTTATGAGCGTCTTGAAAACGATGAAGTGGCTGATATGATTTAAATCAAATTCTCACACCAAATATACACATATAGGGGCGTAGATGAGAGGATTTCATTTGGAATTTTGATTAGATTTCTGTCCTCCATCATTATTTTGTACAATGGTTAGTAGGGGGCAGACTCTGTACATTCTTCCCCTTTAATGCACACGCCTCTGATGTGAATAATCGCAAGATAACTGATTTATTTCATTCTCATTTATATTTGGATGACGTAGATACTGATACTCGTACCACAGGACTGTTTGACGGTGTGTCAGATATGGCCAGACCAGGCGAACGACTCATTTGCGCGTCACTGGTTCCGCGAGAACCAAGCTGGTCAACTCTAGTCAGCATACAATACACCGTTAGAAATTGCCAGCAAAAGAACCACCTTAGTGTGCGATGATCAAGAGTATAGTATTGTAGTGTGTTAAAGATTCGGTTAAGCGTAGCTAAATTGCGGTGTTAACAAAGAGGTACAGAAAATCATATATACTCGTAGGAGACTCGGCACACAACCCACGCTTCACCAATATTAATATTTCGGACATATTTCTAATCAAGTTAAAGTCACGAAAGGTATAGGAAAAAGAAAGCCTGCACTTTGCAGGGGGAACTACATGTCAGCATAGAGAAGATTATTCATATGTAGTACTTAGTTGATTTACTTATTACTGTTTTGTTGTCTGGCAAAAATATTTACTCGTCGCCATTGAAGGGACTAATATTTAAATTAATAAGTATTGCAATTAGAATCAATCAGAATCTCGGATTAATGAAGGTTTTTTTTGGGATTGATCGACCATATAGAGAGGTAATCATTAATATGTTTCAGTTCCACCTGAGCGATAGTTGGCCCAGGACTGAGGGCGACGCGCCATCTATCGGAATTCCAGGGAGGCTAGATGGTGTATGGTGATATCAAGGGGAGCGGGGATGCTTTACTGGGGATAGAAGAAATACGATAGGATTAGCTAGATGTATTCGTGAGGGTGAGAAGGGATAAATAGACGTGAAAAATATCAGAAAACGTGGACTGAGCTATTGAAATCATAGAGCGGACCAAGGATTGTGCGGTTAAGACCAAAATATTAATGTGAGTACCAAAAAAAAACGCGGGCCACTCATATAGGGTTAGACGCAGTTTATTTTGCTCATAGCCTGCCCGGAATACAGACACCGGAACCGGGCCAGAAAGTTTCCTGGAGCAGAGTGAGAGTGCCGTCCGTATATTATAGAAGACTACACCTGAACGCCTGTTCCTGTTCCATTTGCGAAAAGTGCGTGACGTTAGACAGTGGGCAAGAGGATGGAGGCGATTCTAGGCATGAAAAAAGTAAATATTTACCTCCAAACCTGCATATAACATCAATCCCGCATGAGTAATGGTATCCCCGTCATCGTCTCAGCACAATCATGTATTTACACAAAGAGTTATAGTTGATTTATTTATCCAGATTTGCAAAAACGTTTTGGTGTTTTTGGTTAGTGGTAATTTTTCTTATATTTATCTATTTATTTATCTACACGCAGTGAAGTTAAATTCTAGATTTGGCGGGCGAGGGGAACTACCCAGCTCTGGGATCGAGAGCTAGCCGGCGTTGACCACAGGGAACCAAGCCGAAATGTAACAAATAGTACGATTATAAGGCGGGGGAGAGGTGCAAACCACAGTTAGGTCTTTGGGGTGCGGGGCCTGACTCTCGCTGGAGGGGAAGCCACTTTACTTATTCCCGAATGAACAAGGAAGCACGGGGCAAAAGGGAACCGAGATTCATCTAGAAACTGAAACCCTGACTATACAAAGATCTGCAAACTTTTCAGAACTAAATTGTTAATGAAGATTTCGTTAATGAGAAGGCTCTTCAAGATGCGGTTTCGTTTTGATCCGCTACCAATTGTGGAGCTCTCCGGCCGACTTTTGGGTTCAGTGGCGGCAGTGTACTGTGCATTACAATTTGTTGCTACATTGCACGTCTTAAATCAAAAACTTTTCGAGTGCAATTCCTAATTTCTTAGATGGAATTTCTCGTTGTCCCTTGTCCGGCCCCGACTTCGTGCTCTCTATTGTTAAAACGAAGCCGTCTTCTAGCCAGCTTCTATAAAAGTTTAGCTCAACAATTTGAGCGTGAGATGTGCGACGACGACTTAATGATATTCTACAAGTTTCTCATGCTTGAATGGCTGTTCAGCGGCTTCCATCCATCCACACATCCTCTTATTTTGCCTCCCCATACGTCTTGGCCTCGTTGGAAGCGCGTTGCTTGCTAAGCGAAAATTTGAAAACTTTTTGGTCAATTTTAAAGAATGAAATACTTTGACAGCTCGAACGTGAGTGTTTGGCTGGCAAACGAAGATGGAGAGCGGGAGCAATATCCCCGCCATCGTTCCCCACTTCGGGCAAGCCATGGAGTTTCCTTTTGTCCAGTACTTTAGACATTTAAATGACAGCGATCCCTAAATGGAATTCCAAACGAATCACCCATGTGTTTACTCGTCTACTTGCCAAAAACTCCCCTAGATCATTGAAGAATTACAGTTTCCTATTAATTTTATTGATATTTCAGTGGGCAAGTCTAGCCGGACCAGTGGGACCAGCCGCGGATCTCGTTCCAGATGTGGGTGCCGGGGCACTCGGTGGCGCTGACCTGGCGATGGCCGTAGAGAACGTATCCGGAGCTGATCTGGCCACGGTTGACGGCGTCGTTGAGCAGTTCCTTGGCAGCGGCGATCATGTTTGGCTCCAGGGTGTCCCAGTTGTAGTTGCCCAGGAAGCTGATGCCAATGCTGTAGGGGTTCCACTCGGCGGCATGGGCACCCATGCGGTTCCAGCCACGGCCCTCGTACACACTGCCATCGCCGCCAATGAGGAAGTTGTAGCCGATGTCGGGCCAGCCCAGGGAGTCCATGTGGTAGTTCTGGACGCTGCGTAGGACAGCTCCGCACGCGGCGCGGGTCTCGCAGTAGGAGCCGGCCGTGTGATGGATGATGGCGTAGCCGAGATAGTTGCCCAAGGCTACAGTCCAGCTGGGTGCACGGCCGCCCCACTCCGCCTTGGAGACGACGTAGACGCCTTGCGCCATGTACTGGCTGCACACCAGCACGGCGAGAAGAAGAGCAACTTTGGACACCATGACTATAGACTGTGATGGTTCTGATGAAGAAGCCCTTCGCCGCTGCGGTGCTTTTATACCAAACCGATCCACTGGAACGGGGTCTTATCGAGGCATATAAAACTGATTTACAATACCACTAATCATTAATTGGCGTTGGGGGAAGAACCTCCGAGCTAGCCTCGTCACAGGTCTCTGATTTATAAGATCGGCCATTCCAATGGGGCTTAGGTTTATCAAATCACATGGGCGGCACATTGACTGCCTAGTTGTTTGGTTTTTTGGTGGGTTTTCTGCTAGGAAATAGGTCCTTTTGATTTTATTTTGGATCCACATGAAGATCTTTGGAGAACTCATGAACCACGTTCCACTCAACGCAGGCGGCAAAAATGATAAAAATTAAGTACAAAAGAAATGAGAATACCCCAGCTGAGCGGCGCGCGATGTAGTTGAAAGTCAAGGTCCAAAACAACATGGATATGACGGCCACATTCAAAAAGATGTAACAGTTCATGCCATGCTTTCCAATGAGGAACCAAGCAGTGCCGTGGCGGACCGTCTCCTGAAGCAGAATAGCCAATCCCATGCTAACCAATATATCTTCATTAGGGGATTGGGAAGTTAGCGCAATAGATACGGTACGGGCTACACTACCATGTCATGACTTACTAAAGATGGGGGCACCAAGTATAGCGCCCAGGGCCAGTTGTTCGTACCCCTCCAAGGCCAGAGATACAACCACAATCGTATCATCGATGGAACCGGCCATCGAACGGAAGGTGACGGCGACGAAGCCCTCGGAAAGGTAGACGATCAGTCCCGCAATGCAGCACAGGATCTCCAGCTCGGCAGCACAAATCCCCATTATTAGCAGACAACCGCCGGCATTCAAGCCAAGGAACATCTATCGAGGGATGCGCGAGTAGGAGTACGAGTATTAGGTTAATTCCAGGCGCTTCGCTATGGGTTTGAAGTTCAGTACTCACCGAATGGTACACGGGTGGTATATCGGTTCGGGAATGAACGAATACAATGATAGCCAGGGGAACTGTAATGCAAAGACTCCACTGGGCATATGCGAATTGAGGTATAATAACAAATCCAGTGAATTCATTCAACATGATTGCTGAGGTAAAGGAGAATCAAGTTACATATGTGAGAGTGGAGAGTGAGAGTGTGTGCCGAGAGCAATACTATATATATGGACTTACAGTGAATCAGAGTGATCCCAAATAAGGGGGTAGTGATTATCTGGATGCAGTTGAGCAGCTTGCACCAGCCGTGCCTGTAGATCTCGTAGTCCACAACGGGCAGAAATAATGTACAGATGAGTTTTATAGGTGCTTTTAATATCATCAAGATCCGCCGCAAATATCCGACAAATTCCCATCGCTCCAAATCTATGGGCATCAGGTTCTCTAAGAAATCTGAGAAGAGAAATCGGTTCCTCGAATTAGTCCTCGAATACAGTACCGTGCGTGTTTCCTCAAAATCCACTTCTGGATTTGCTCCTTTTGGATAGGATGTGGCGAATCCCAATGAAATCCTCCGGCTAGATTTCAATGGATTCTCGCTGGAGCCTCTCCAAGAGAGACTTCGTCGTTTATTCCCGTATTGATGAATTCTTATGCGATGATCTTTTTCCAATTCCTTAAGAGTGTTCTCCATTTTCCTTATCTGGTAATTTCGTTCCTCTGATGATGACATCTGATATGCTTCATCAATCTGTCTTCGTAACGCTGGAGGCATTCCGACTGACGAAAATAAATTCGAAAAGTTTTGTGCAAAGAATACTCACAATTAATGGTCAATCGCTGCCCGATTAGATCGGTAAATATTAGGATCAAGTAAAGGACGTACAAAATGATCAGATCTATTGTAAATGGCTTGGCTTAGGGCTAAGTGTTCTTTTGAATTAAAGAATAGAGCTCCTTACAAATCCCATCTCTAGGTGTAATTGTTTTGGGACGTAACAATAAGAAAGTCAGGACTTCACACGACAGTATCAGATAGAGGAGATCCCTCATGGTGCTGTGGGGATTCATCTTGAAGGGTTTGAGGTAGCAGATCACACCGCCGCCTACCAGGATGAGAGTCAACGAATTGCTAATGGATATGGAGTACATAGGGGCCTCGGACCTCACTGGCATCATGTTTGCCAATGCCTCCGGAAGGGTATTGCCCAAGGCGACCAGCGTAGTCCCGGCTATGTACTGGCTCATGCCCATCTTCATCGCTATAATCTTCAGCATGGGACTGAAACTAAGGGATAGCTGGACATAAGCAAAAGAACTTCCCCTCAGATAAGCTCACTCACTGAGAGTCCACGACATTGGAAATAAGGACCATCAGGCAAAGGACTAACACCAAGATAAAGAATAGCGCGATCAACTCTTCTATCCTGCGTCGTATTTTCAGCTCGCAGTACAGAAGGGAGAAATAATTTGACAAAGTCGAGACTATGTCGCACTCGTGCACCTTGTGGGCCAACGCGCATCGCTCCTCAAAAGCATACTCCATTATGGCAAAGCAGCTCATCTACGGTGTACACAAGTGAACAAAAATTTAAGTCCACTTTCTTGTACAAATCGGAAATCACTTACCTGATCATATCGAATGGCGAACGGGTCAACATTATGGGTTCCTTGTGAATTATTCATTGCCAAGCGATGTGTATACAGATTGCAGATGTGTATGTAGATTGAAATATAGTTTATTGCTGTTGTGATTGAAACAGAAAAGCCAAATATTCATATCCTCGTATTTTAACATTTGACTCTTTCGGTAGCGCTCCATTATGAATTTCTCGACTAAATACAGTCTACCGTAACTCCAGAGGCATTGCAACGGCAGGTGCTACTCCGTCATTGCGAGATTACAGGCCATCTGATATTGGTTATTCTCATTAGGAGAGTTTCGAGCTTTTCGGATTTTTACAGAGACAAAGTTGGTTGTGCAGTTCCCGTCAGTCTGTTAACTAATTCGAAACTCAATTCTAGTCTACGCTCTAGTTGAAGTAAACAAAGAAACTGCACAATGTCTGTTAAGAAATTTAATGGAAGTGATTCTAGAGTTTCCTATGAATTCGGTCACTTTCTATTGGATGTAAGTAGCCTGCTGTTAATTCCTGCAACGAGTACGCACAGCACATTTTCCATATTCCTGTTGCAGATGAGCTGTACGATGGTGATGAGACTCCCTTACAGCAAGCGTTGCAAGATGGCCACGGAAGTGCAGAATTGCGAGAAAATCGTGAATATCTTCCACTACTTTAGGATGATGTACTGCTCGTTTAAAATTACCGATCAATTTATGGAGATTTGCGTGATGTTTTTATTCGTTCTGATATGCCTCGCATTTCTGGAGCTTATGTCATCGAGCATTAGGCTATTGTAAGTGGATGATGTATTTGACTTTGATGCATTTCCGTTCGTTCATTTGTTTTTTTGGATAGCTTTACTCCTGCCTTGAAAATCGTCTCTGTATGGCTGCATATGAACGAGTACCTGACGGGTGTTACCCTACTGTCCTTTGGCAATGCAATACCGGACATTATAGGTAATCTGGCGCCAATTAGGGGCAATGCGTCGATATTTTCTATCGTCATTGGCAACGCACTGGTCATCATACTCCTAAGTGGGGGTATTATCTGCTTTCTGAAGCCATTCAAGCTGAGCGGTTCTTGCGCCACCAGAGACCTTCTGTTTCTACTGCTTTCTGTGGAGCTTTCACGATATATGATATTATACGGCGGAAAGGTGACCATTCTGAAAAGTCTTGGTATGCTTCCTTACAATATCTTACGCTCGCACTGTTCTCAAGTTATTCCCATTCTCATTCTCAGTGGTGATTTCTATTTATTTTATATATTTATCTGTCAATATACTCGATCTCGTCATTCAGCGCCATAGCATCAGAAGTAAGTGAAAGCCATTTTTAACCAATTTCGAATTAATCGAATTTCTGGATTTTCGATCTGCATCTTCAAGAACTTCGAAGGGAAATTCATGAACTAATGGGTCATCCTCCTGGCGTGCAACGAGACCAAGAGATCGCAGAAAAACGACAAGCAATATATGAACTAAAACTTCACGACGACATGGTTATCACAGACACTGCCGATTACCGGCGTAGGGCTAAACATCGGGCCTTTAAGAATACCAATGCGGCTTTCTTTACCACATCCAAGGTGCTGGACCATCATGTGCCAGTTGACTTTGCTGCTACTGGAAAAATGCTCCATGATGACCGAAATCCGAAGAACTTGTATCTGTTCAGCGATTTCCTCGAGTCACTGAATCCCATTGATATGGAGGATTGGGAGCTGGGTGGCAGGTTATCTCGGTTATATCAGATCATTGGATGTCCACTGGTTTTCCTAATGCTTTTGGTCATTCCCTATGTGGATTATGAGAAGGCAAAGCACGGATGGAGCAAGTTGCTCAACTGCACGCAGATCATTACGGCTCCGTTCATCTACATTATCCTTGTGCATTGTATGTATTGGAGGAATGCGGTGAATCTTCATTATTCCTACCTTAGATTGTTTTCATTTAAGCAATGATCGTTTCCGAATTCAGCGGCTGGTACATCGTACTCCAATTTTCCTACGCAAAGTGGACCTTCCTTCTGACAGTGCCTTTGGCCATAGCTGTCTTCGCTCATAGTCGCACAGATCGGCCGCCCTTCTACCATATCGTAAGAAATGGCAATAATTCACATACCACACCACGCCACACCCACTTCCTCGCCCCTAGGTCTTTGTCGGCTTGAGCTTCACCATTGCCATTGTGAATATCTGGATTTGCACCTGCGAAATTGAGGTGCTAACTACTGTTATTGCCATTGTCTTCAACATATCCTCAAACTTCATGGCCATCACCTTTGGCTCAGTGTCGATTGCGGCTGCGGATATAATAGCAAACGCCACCCTCGTCCTGCAGGGCTACGAGAAGATGGTGTTTGCGGCCATAATAGGTGGACCACTTTTCAGTAAGTGGGGGGTCTAGCCTTTCTAGTGAACCGCTAACATCTGACATCTGCTCTGCTTCTTGTTTGCAGACAACATAATGAGCATCGGAATATCCCTATTGTATAATGAGGGTGTTCGCCAAGATGGCACGGCGTCTCTATACGGCACCCACGGGGAGAACTGTTACGTATTCATCATGATAACTATCATAAGCACATTGTGCTGGTGCTTCTTCTATAACTTCCTTATGCGACGTTCCGCTGGCATTTTATTGTGGTTCATCTTTTTGCTCTTTTTTATTTACACAGCTGGCATGGAGTGGGGCTTCGTGCACGGCTTCAACGATGATATCCAAAAGGGTCCCATGTAACTCTGACTTCTGATTCCTTGCAATGCGGTATTTATTCCTATTGTCCCTAATAAAAATGGGGGAGTTTTGTGTGGGTTATATGAAAACGGTCTAATGACAAATGTTTGTGCTCGGGGTCGTTTATTTATATGTCTCTATCGGAAGAACCTAGCCGGACCAGTGGGACCAGCCGCGGATCTCGTTCCAGATGTGGGTGCCGGGGCACTCGGTGGCGCTGACCTGGCGATGGCCGTAGAGAACGTATCCGGAGCTGATCTGGCCACGGTTGACGGCGTCGTTGAGCAGTTCCTTGGCAGCGGCGATCATGTTTGGCTCCAGGGTGTCCCAGTTGTAGTTGCCCAGGAAGCTGATGCCAATGCTGTAGGGGTTCCACTCGGCGGCATGGGCACCCATGCGGTTCCAGCCACGGCCCTCGTACACACTGCCGTCGCCGCCAATGAGGAAGTTGTAGCCAATGTCGGGCCAGCCCAGGGAGTCCATGTGGTAGTTCTGGACGCTGCGCAGGACAGCTCCGCACGCGGCGCGGGTCTCGCAGTAGGAGCCGGCCGTGTGATGGATGATGGCGTAGCCGAGATAGTTGCCCAAGGCTACAGTCCAGCTGGGTGCACGGCCGCCCCACTCCGCCTTGGAGACGACGTAGACGCCTTGCGCCATGTACTGGCTGCACACCAGCACGGCGAGAAGAAGAGCAACTTTGGACACCATGACTATAGACTGTGATGGTTCTGATGAAGAAGCCCTTCGCCGCGGCGGTGCTTTTATACCAAACCGATCCACTGTAACGGGGTCTTATCGAGGCATATAAAACTGATTTACAATGCCACTAACAGTCTTTTCTCCCATTCATATTATGGGCTATGATTAGGGGAAGCACCTAGGAGTAAACAATTCTCTGATATTGATTTATACGGTGGCTGCTTATCAAATCGCCGGGGTCGACATCTTGGCTGGCAATCACAGTGCTATTTCTGGTTTCTGCTATTTTCCTCCAGGGAAATACATATGTCTGTTTTGGTTGAAAGACTCTACGAATATGAATATAGGTGTTTCTTCGATTTCCTTCAAAGCTTTGTACTTTTAAAAAAATAGTTGTAATAATGGTGCCTACATCACATCCCGAACGAATCCCTATCCGCATAATGACTGATCAAGATGATAAATTGAACTGGACATACTTGGACCATGAGTTCTATACCTATCTCAAGAACGTAAGTCATGTTGAATCCTTTAAGGCTTCCTAGTCATCATTAGCATTTCCCGCGATGAAGCAGATGAGCTGCATGACGGTGATGAAACTGCCATATGATAGACGCTGCATGATGACCCAACAAGTGCTGGACTGTCAGAACATCATCAATCTGTTCAACTACTTCAAGATGATGTACTGTGCGTTCCATATATCCGATATGATAACGGAGATCGGGGTAATGGTGCTGTTTTGCCTGGTTGTGATTGCCTTTCTCTTAGTCATGACTCTAACCATTGACGTGTTGTAAGTGGGGAACGAGTGGTGCTCTCCTCTCAATGCTAGCTGCTACCCAATCCAATTCCGCAGCTTCGCGCCTACCATGAAGATCGTTTCCATGAAGCTGCACATGAATGAGTACCTGGCGGGCGTTACACTCTTGGCCTTTGGCAATACATGTCCCGATCTGATAGCCAATCTAATGCCCATTCGGGCAGACGCACCGATATTCACGATAACTGTGGGAAATTCCCTCGCCATAATCCTGCTCAGTGGGGGTATGGTCTGCTTTCTGAAGCCCTTCAAGATGAATGGCCCCAGCACCGTCCGGGATCTTCTGTTCCTGCTCCTCAGTCTGATAATGCTCCGTTCCATAATATTCAGTGAGGGAAACGTGACCGCCACAGAGTCTATTGGTATGTTCATTCCGTTGCATATTCAATATTCTACTGGAAAATAACCATTTCCTATGGCTTGGATTAGTGTTGATGGGCATTTATTTTTCCTATCTGATTATCAATATACTGGATCTGTTGCTGCTGCGCTACACCATAAGGAGTAAGGCCTGAACATATGTAGAAATCGTAGCCAACATTCCCATTTTTCTATTTGATCGTCGTAGAACTTCGAAGGGATATTAACCAATTGCAAACTTCACCTGGCAACGCAAGCGTGGTCGCTGAGAAAACACGCTTATTGAACGAGCTGGAACGGGATGACGAATTAAACATCAATGACACTAAACAGATCAATCGACAAATGAGAGGATCAATCGAGAAGGTATTCTTCTTCAACACACCGAAGAAGAGAATTCGTCCCCCAGTCGTTGACCATATAGCCAACCGAACTATCTTCTATAATGTGGGAAATCCGAAGAACCTCTTTCTACTCACCGAGTTCTTTGAGTCTCTCAATCCCATTGACGAGGAGGAATGGAAGTTGGCTGGCTGGTGTCAGCGCATTCTTCTGATCGTCAAAAGCCCACTCACCTTTTTCCTCATTTTATTTATCCCCGTTGTGGACTTTGAGAAGGACAAGCACGGCTGGAGCAAGCTGCTCAACTGTACGCAGATCATCACGAACCCTTTCCTCATGATCACCCTGGTGCATTGTCGGTATTCCGCAGGGGTCCATAATATCATCTTAATCGCCATTCCTCGTCCTCTTTCCTCTAGCTTCGGCCACCAGTAAGTACTACGCCTGGTACATAGTCCCCAATTTGGACATCTCCATGTGGACTCCCTGTGTGACACTGCCTCTGGCCACTGCTGTCCTCATTCACAGTCGCACAGATGTGCCGCCCTTCTATCACATTGTAAGACATCCGTTTCGAAAGATCTGCAAATGATCCTCCTCACTCTCTCCCATCTTCGCCCCGTAGATGTTCATCATATTCAGTTTTAGCAGTTCAGTCGTTATCATCTGGGTGTGTGCCAGCGAAATGGAGGTGCTAACTTCCATTGTGGGCATTGTCTTCAATCTATCCGGAAACTTCATGGCCATCACCTTTGGCGCAGTGTCCAATGCGATGGCGGACATAATAGCCAACTCCAACCTGGCCCTGCAGGGCTACGAGAAAATGGCCTTTGCGGCCATTATAGGCGGTCCCGTGTTTGGTAAATCGGCAGGATTTCGTATGGTCTCAAAATAACATACCTCTTCTTTGCCCCCAGCTCTTGTGGTTACCATGGCCATTCCCTTTGCCTTTAATACAAAAGTTCGCACGGCTGGTGCTGCATTCTGGCTGTATGGCGAGCACGGCGAAAACTGCTACATATTCCTCATGATCACCATCGTGGCCACATTGTGGTGGTGCATGATCTTCAATTTCAACGCCCGCCGATCAGCAGGCATCTTCATGTGGCTGATATTTGTAATATTCATTATTTATTGTACTGGCGTGGAGATGGACATTGTGCACGAGTTCTCAAGGGACCAGTTCTTCAATCCAATGTAACGAAGTATTCTTACTTAGGCGTCCTTCTTCATTCATCTTACCTAGCTATGTAGATATGTACATATATATGTGCTTCCACCTTCAGTCTAACAAGACTGAACCGACACACAGACTAATTAAACTAATGAAGTATCATAATTAAGCCCCCAGTGAAATGCAAGCCACAAGAACTGACGGTCCATTGAAATTCAGTGGAGCAACCACTGCCAAGTTCTGGCCTGAGACTTGAGCACCAGCAACTAGCAGCCAGCAATCAGCGCCAGCATCATCTCTATTTCAGAAAAAAGCGTCCTGCATAATGAAGGAAAACTGATGGCAACGAGGACGAAAGCGTCGCGTTAATTAGGGTTAAAGTGGTCCGGGGTTGGTGTGCTGTCAGCGGTTAAGGGGCCAGTGATTTGTGCGACAGTGTGGATGCAAAGATGGAGCCAAAGATAGAGACAGAGATAGAGACAGACCAAGGGCCACAAGTAGGTCAAACCAGTTGCAGCGTCTTACTGAGGGGAATTTACTTTCACAGTTCATATCTGGACCACTAGTTGGGGCACCATTAATATTGACTCGTACATGTAAATTTCACTTGATTCCGGCTCTTATTCCGGCTGCAGCTGAAGCACAACCATTACATTTAAGTACAATTGCATAACCAAGAAGGGGAGGCACATACTCGTACTCGTAGAGAGGCAAAAAACGATGCGGAAGCCATCTCCAGCATCAGCTTCAGCATCAGCATCAGTATCAACATCAGTGTCAGCTTCAAAGGCAAATGCAACACAGAGTTCCGGCAGCAATAAAAGCACTCAAGACCCTCAGAGTTCCTGCCTGCCGCCTGTCCATCTGCCTGTCTATCTGGCGGCTCCCTCTATCCGTGCACTTAATGGGACATGTTTTTGCAACAGCTTTGGTTTCTCTTTTCGCCACTCCAGTCTTTCCGAGTGTCCCCCAATCGCAATCCCAGTCCCAGCCCGGGTCCGGGCCCGGGCCCAGCTTCGACGTCCATGAGATTTGATGCATTTTGCTTGTTACCAAATTGTTTTGCATTTCCCATTCTCTCCACGCTTTCCCGTTGAGTCGCAATCCCGAATGGAATGTGAAAAAATAAGAATGAAAATAGGAAAAGGGAGTATACCAATGCCTTGGTCTTGGCCATGATTCGGTGTGAAAGTCATCAAATATTTAATGCACAAGTGCGAAATCGCATTCCAATTGGCAGCTGCTTGCTTATGCATGAGCCAAAATTGATTTGGATGGATCAGACCGTTGGGAGTTCCACGGAGCCATTCAGATTGGACCACCGATGCAAATGGCTTGAAGAGTCCTTACAAAAGTTGGCGTCCGCTTCCTCCTCGGTCGATCAGCTGATCCAGTTTCCACTCGAATGTTTTGCTTAGGTATCTCGGTAGATGGACAATCCTCTGCTTCAATTTGCGTCTACAACTTATCGCCTAACGAATGAATGATTGGTGTTTCCTTATCTAAATGGGACTTTTGTCGGCGACTATCATAAATTTCTGGTGGCCTGAGCAAACGTGTGGGTACGATTTTGAAATAGTGAAAATCATTCATCGAAAGATCCCTTACTCCATTGATATGTTGCTTGAATGTTTATTAGATGAATTAGATCTGCGGCCCTTGCCGCGTCTCATAAAGTTCCGCCAATATTATCATTTATATTTTAAGCCTGTATTATAATATACGTCCGATTATATATCACACTAAACACTGAACTGCAGAAGAAATTTCGTGGACAGAGCTTGGTTATTTTTCCAGCGCAATCATTGACTCCAATTGGATCAAATGGTTCGCGTGGTTTCGGGATTTTGGGAGACTTGCAAAGTTTTCGAACCAACTTTCTGGCAGGACCCTTGCCACAACAAACTATTCATAACAAGTTGTATAAAAATTACAAGGGATATGGACGGGTCGGGGTATGCCGTGGTGGTGGCGGTGGCGTGGCTTCGTTCTGGTAGCGAGGGCAACTTCATCATTTTTCTTAATAAACGCGAAAATCTACCAAGGAAATACTGAAAATATCTCACAACTTTCAGTTTGCTGTTTGCCATTTCCGCCGAGAAACTTTGCAGTGAAGCTGCAGTTGTCGGCTGGCGAAAGGGGGAAAAATATGTCCGAAAGACAGGGAGGGGAATATTGGACAGAAACATATTTATGGGATATATTAAATAACCCAGGGGGGCGGCCTTCCCGGCGCTGTATTGCGTGTTGATTTATGTCTGAAGACGGTCGGTCCTGGCTGCTGCTGGTGCTCCTGCTTCTCGCCATAAATTGCCGCTTAGCATTATAACTCAATTAGCCGGCTGGGTCGTTGCGTATACGCCAGGTTGCACTGCCGGAAGTTGGCCAGTGCAGCGCGGTGGCAGGAACAGCAGCAACAGTTACACTTACAACTGTACAGCTGTAAATTATGCAATCCCTAATTAATGTCAGTGCGACTGTGGCCCTGAAAGTGGGGCACTGCCACTCCACTACTTACATAGGCTCCGGCTCTGGCTGTGGTTGTGGCTGTTCTTGGTGGTCATTGCGGTGTCCCCCTTATCCGTGTGTTTGTTGTGTGGCTAATGAATCGCCTGCCAGGAATCGGCTTGTGACCTGTCTCGTTCCAATTAGCGTACACTTACGTTTGACTTAACCGATTTGTCATCGCTGAGGTGTGAAAAGTACTCGTACTCGGACTTGTGCACGGGATATATTGCCGACTTTAGGGCTTGCCGTAGGGCTGCCTTTTCCCGTTGATTACGTGCCGTGTGTGGATGAGGTATTGAAATGTATTTCTGTTGAATTGGCCCCGCCTTCGAGGTTGTCTAAGACCTGAAGCCCCCGTACGAATGCTTTAGTGTTGAAGAGTTTCAAAGTCTGCTGTAACTACTACTTCCCTTCAATGGGAGAAGCATAAAGACTAGAAGATTTTTGGAAAAACCAGTGTGAGCAAGGGTAAGGCTTCCCTCCCCTCACAGCAGAGGGGCTGGGAGAACGCAAAGTCAGGCAACATCCGTTGCCATTTCATTCTTTTGCAAGGAGTGCTTGCTTGCTTCCGGCAGTCGCTGTGCAAGGATTTGCAAGGACCTCCTCCACTCGACAGGAAACCTATTAGTTATACATTGAACTGTCCTCACTTGAGGCCCCACTGGAGTTGCTTCGTTATGATATTTATTTGGTTTCCATTGCCAAAAGGATACGTACTCTTAAGTTCTACATACTGTATCTCGATGTGGCAGGCTGCCAGCGACTGTCTGAAAAGCAATTGACATAAAAGGGATACAAACAGAGCTGCGTTTAATTTATTCACTTCGTTTTGGTCTTTGAGTGATGTCTTATATAATTAAATACGTACATCCGATTGGATTTCCATAGATATTCCATTCCTATCAGTCCAACTCAAGCGAAGGCTTAACCGTTGGATCGCTGGCAAACGAGTGAATGGTATTCTGATGAATAAGGAATGCAAATAATAGGAATAGAAGGTATATCATTATTGAGAATATTCCCATGGAGCGGCGCGCAAAAAAGTCCAGCGTTGAGGTCCAAAGCAGCGTGGCAAAGAGGCCTAAGTTGAGAAAAATGTACGCATTGGTGCCATACTCCCCGGACTGCTCCTCTATGGTGACCTTCATGTCAATATTTAATTTGAAGTACATAACAGTTCCCGTGCCCAGGAGGACGTCTAAGAGAAAGGATGAACTCTGTAAAATATTGTGTTCCATAGCAACGGCAGCTGGACTCACTGAAGAAGGGACCTCCGATGGCTGCCGCATAGGCCATCTTCTCATAGCCCTGATAGGCCATGGCCGTGTTGGCCACCAGATCCCCCAACGCCTGGGTAATGGCGTTGACTGTGACGCCCATAAAGTCCTCTTCTATATTCAATATGTTGCCCACCACTCCCAGCAGCTTGTCGATCTCCGATGCACAGACAAAGATCAGGAAGGTGGAGCCAGTCAGGTTCATGATCGTGTACACCTGAAATACGGATTGAACCACCAGGTAGAACCCCCACCCGGAAACTGGACTCTGCACTCAGGTGCACTCACCCAGTGGTAGACCGGCGGCACATCGGTCCGAGAATGCATAAAGACAAAGATGGCGAAGGGAACAGTGATCGCACAGGAGTACACCCCGTAAATGTATGTGTTTGCCAGTTCCGAGTACCACAATTTCTTCTTATGGGACGTATGCAACGCTGCAAGATGGGAGAATGCCCAACAGACAACTAAGAAAGGAATGAGGGGACAACTCACCCATGGAGACGATAATGGTAATGGCCGGATTCAGGAATGTGTGGATGCAATTGAGCAGCTTGCTCCAGCCGTGTTTCTCCAGTTCATGGTCGACGAGGGGTATGTAGGCGGCACACAGAACTTTCGCAGGAGCCATGGCCAGGAGGAAGGCTCGCCCAAACATGTTCGCCCCCCGCCATTCATCGATATCGATGGGATTGAGGGTCGTAGCGAAATCCCTCCAGAGTCCGCTGTTCCTGCTAGTCGTAAGGTTATAAAATACACTCCGGGTGGCCAGTGGGTTCACGCTTTGGCGCACCCGCGAGGTACGCTTTGTGGTGTAGGTGAATTTATCGTGTACGGGATTGACAACCGAGACCCTACTGCCGGGTCTCTCTAATATCTCCACCATCGCGTCCTCGGCATATTCAGCGTATTGCTCTTCCAGTCTTCCCAGTTTCTTTCTGACCTCCACAGTCTGTTGCTGGTCCCGAAGCTCGCCTATTTGGCGTTCCAGTACTACAAATAGAATAGAGGGATTTACGCCGGATCTGCCATGAATTTGCACCCCCTTCAGCACTCACTGATCATGGCTTTCCGCATTAGGTACACGTCCAGAATGTTGACTACAATGTAGGATATGTACACCAGAACCAACACTGCCGGGAAAGGGACAGAGATCAGCTAGTGAGCGATTCAGATGAGAGATGATGTTGTGAGGCCTACCAAAGCATTCGGTCATGTCCACTTCTCCGTGGGAGGCCATTACATATTCCAGCAGGGTCACTCCCAAAATAAAGAACAGTATGTCGCGTACAGTGCCGTGCGTATTCATCTTGAAGGGACTTATATAGCAGATCATGCCCCCGGTGAACATCGAGACAAACAGAGCCATTGCCAGAGAGTTGGCAAACACTGGCACCTCCTCCCTGATGGCCGCCAGATTGGCTGCCAGATCCGGAGAGGTGTTGCCAAACGCCAGTAGGGTTACGCCCGCCAAATGCTCGTTCATATGCAGCATCTGGGAGACGACCTTCAGGGCTGGACTGTAGCTAAATGGAGACGAGTTACGGATATCGATCAGGTATTCATTGCAACTCAAACTGGGAGTGGGAGTGGGAGTGCACTTACTACATGTCCACCACGTGGGTCAGGCACATCAGCAGCTGCAGGCAGAATGCCACGAACATCGTGAGGTAGACTATCTCCTGGAACTGGTTCCTGCACTTGAGGTCGCACGCCAGCATCCGCATGTAGGGCACGAATATGGTTTCGGTAATGCAATCCGTGGCATTCAACACAAAGTCGCATCTCTCGTCATAGGGAAAGTTTGCCACCACGTAGCAGCTGACTTTGTCCCAGAACTCGTCGAACTCCTCGTCCATTACATTGTGCTCCACATCCTGCGACTCTGCCATTGTAAAAAGTGTGCAAGTGTACCCTCAGCTCCGCTCAGGGAAGTGTGCTCGAACATAAAACAATTCTCCAACTGACATTCATCGAAAATAGATAGCCATGGCCTACGAGGATTTACGTTCTTTTCCTCATAGAACATAGAACTTTATAGAACGATTTCATTCAGTTTTCCGAGCAGCAAAAATTAAATTCAAATGTCAATGAATCCAATAAACAATGTGTAAATAGGAGTCAAAAGTCAAAAAATTTTGGTACCGCTTGTAAGTTAATCCGTTAATGATTTGGGTGCAATTGCTATTCGCTATAATGGTCAGTCTGGTGCCGCCAATGTCGTCGGTCTTGGCTAAAAAAATCAATCTACAGAGTTCTTCGGCTTCAGCCTTAGACGTGGACTCGTCTGTGAACCCGTCTGTGGAGCCGTCTGTGGCCCCAACGCCATCGATGTTGGTTTTGGTTCGCAACGAACTCTACAGCTACCTTCGACGACTGCTGGGCTTTTTGGCGGCCAGGACCCTTGAGTTCATTCGACCGGATCGATACATTATCTACAAGGAGGTGGCTCCGTCGAGAACGTGCGCCATTCAACTTGAACGTGTGCCGCGAAAGACGTTGATACTGGACCTGGACGAGACGCTGCTCCACTCGTGCTACATTGATCCGGAGACCAAGGAGAACGTGGGCGGCAGCCAAGTGCCGGCCTGCGCAGTTCCCGATTACCAGCTCCATCTGACGATCGATGGCATAGAGCCGATTCTGTTCAGTGTCTTCAAGCGGCCCCATGTCGACGAGTTCCTCGATCATGTGGCCAAGTGGTATGACCTGGCCATCTATACGGCCAGTGTGGAGTCGTACGCCGCACGGGTGGTAGACATGCTGGACGCCGGACGGGGCATACTGCAGCGGCGCTTCTACCGACAGCACTGCCGCTCCAACACCTCCATTGTTAGCAAGGATCTCACTCTTGTCAATCGGGACCTGAGCAGAACGCTCATCATCGACAACACGCCCAATGCGTACCGGGACTTTCCCCACAACGCCATCCCGATCAAGTCGTTCATCTACGATCCCAACGACACGGAGCTGCTGAAGCTGCTGCCATTCCTGGACGCCTTGCGCTTTACCAAGGATGTCCGATCGATTCTTCGTCGGCGTGTCGAAAATCACTAAATCACTAATTGCAAATTGCCAAAGATAATTGCACGGACTCTATCGGTCAGTCCCAAAAATAAATGAAAGAGGACCTACGCGAACATAGCTGTGTGTCCAGTAAATATTTCGGGCTTATGGAATCAATTAATATTATTTCATAATTCATAAGTACTCGCAGCACACGGTCTGGAAAACTTTGAACGAAACCCCTGTAAAGGAAAACCGCACAAGAGCTCAAAATCCAAACCAAATTTGAATCGTAATTGTTTATATTCCAGTGCAAATATTTTTGTGATTAAATTTAAATGTCTGAGTCTTTCCATTGTGCCGCTAATTAAATGAATTCCCCCTTAAAACTACTGAGACCCTTTGGAAGTACCACCAACAGCAGCAGCAGCATCTGGGGCGCCTCTGCACAAATGCATTTTATTGCTGGTCGTGCGGCATGTGGGCTCACTCTTTTAACACCCCGTGCACGTCCTTGGGTATGCTGTGCTGTACATAAATGTATGTACGCACCTACCTATTCGTTCCAAAGTAAAAAGATGCGAAAACATTTGCAGACACTCGTAATAGTTTAAGGAATTGCCTTTTTCGACTGGTATTCTTTGCGGAGTGTAGTTTTCCAGACACTGTTTTTGATTATGGGGTATTCAGTAGTCGCAATGCTGAACACAGCCGTTCTTCTTCCTTGTTTTTGCTGGTGTGTGTGCGAGCCGAAGTTTGTGGCATGCCAGCAGCATGCAAATGCGAAAGCGTAATGATGTTGCGGCTTTTTGACTTTACACCGTCACAGAGAAAGCCGCAGCACTGAGCCACCTGATGCGATGCCTTGCCCTGGCCCCTCGCCTGTCGCATGCGTCCCTCACTTCCATACGCCTAAAGTTTCAAAAGTTTAAATTGAATTCTTAATTATTGCACACACGGGTGGGAAGGGGGGCGAAATATTTTGGCCTGGCCAAAATGTTTAGATAATACAATTTCTTTTCAGCAAATTATCAAATGGTTTTCACGCATGAAGGAAAAATATGGACAATAATTGCATTTTTGGGTTCGTCCTCGTATTTTTAGGATCAAAGTGATTCATGTACGGACAAGTCTGATTTATGTGACTGGGGCTGCACAAATTTTGATTTGTAGCGCCATAAAATGTTTTGGCTGGCACAGAAAATCCAACAAAAAACGCCATGAAAGAGTCGAAATACCAGGCATGGTTATTGAAATCCAACAGATAGCTTGACAGTGCACCAGCAGAGGAAGGAACAGCAGGAGCAGCGGCAGTGGCACTGCCAGTCAACGGTGCGTATGAGCAATCAGTCAACCAGTCAGTGAGTCAGTTAGCTAGTGATATCTGCATTTATGCTTGGCCTAGTGTAAATTTCCCGTAGCATTCGGAAGCATGCTTTAAAAAGTGCGAAACGTGAATGGTTTTGTGAGCATTTTGCAGGTTTTTCTTGTCTCAGCATTCTATTCCTCGACTGAGCTGTGTTCCTGTGGGATTAATTATCATTATGAGAGGTTCCTTTTTAGGGCTGTTGGTTTACTGCGAGTAAATTTGCTTACTAGTCGAAGAAAAAGCGAATCGCAAATTAGGTTTCTGCATTTCAAATGAATCTCTGTGGTTTTTCGACTCTGTCTAAATACACAAACGGCGCAAGCATCGAGTGTTAACAGGCACTAGGTCCTAACAGTAGGAGTCCTCGAGTTAGAGGCAGAGACAGAGGCAGAAACCGAGTCAGTGCCAGAGCCAGAGCCAGAGTTGGAGGCATTTTGGCAGTTGATTGCTTCTTGTGGTTTTTCGAACCACAACCAATGCCAATTAACAATGCAAATGGTTTCCCAGGGGGGGGTTTGATGATGGCACGGGCGGTTGGAAAGACGGCAAGTAAGTGAATCTCGCTCGCTTCCGAGTTTCAGCTTAAGCCACTCAGAAACCCCCGCTTTGGAGTTGGAATCGTCGGCTTAAGCTGCACATAAATCTTGCATTGAATGGGTTAAGTGGAATGGCACGGAGAACCTTCACCTGTTCCGCCATAAATTTCCATTTTCCATTTTCCGTTTTCCTTTTGCCACTGCAGCCAGTCAATTCGGCTTAAACGCCCCCCGACAACGACTCTGGCCAGGCGGGGGAGAATCAAAATGGTCTGAGGGACTGAGGGATTGAAGGACTGGTTGCGCTGTCAGCCAGTGCCTGGAAAACCACTCTCTGGCTTGTTTCAGCGATGCCATTGAAAATTAGACAATGAATTGTGTTCCCTGCAAATACGAGTAGAGGAAAGTTGCTGTTGCTCGTATCCCCTGCCCCTGTTGTCGTTGGCTTACACTTTATTACGTATATAAAATTGGTTGACACTCGAAAGGCTAGCACTAGACGAGGTCGCTCAGAGAGAAGCCCGCCTGGACTACCATTTGGTTGATCCAGTCCCTCAGGTAGGCCACGTTCGTGTAGGCCGCCGGAATGTCCTTCTCGGCGCACTCAATGCCCCAGGAGACGATGCCGGCCAGCTGGTAGCGATCCGTCTGGCCAGGCATCGAGCAGAAGAGCGGCGAACCGCCGTCACCCTTGCAGGTGTCCTTGCCCTCGACGCCGCCGGCACAGAGGAAGCTGTCATGGAGACGGAAGCGTCGGCCCAGGATCGTGCGACGCAGCAGACGCTGGCAGTTCTCGTGCTCCACCACCGGCAGCTCAATGCGCTTCAAGAGATGCTCCATGCTCTTGGCCGAGCTGTTGCTTTGGCCCCAGCCGGTGGCCAGGCAGTGGGCCCGCCGCATGTCCTCCTGCACCTGCGTCGTCTCCGCGGGCGGCAGGCAGATGGGCTGGATGTGGGGAGCCAGCTGGAACGGCCGCTCCAGGACCATCAGAGCCATGTCATGGCTGTGGGTCAGCTTGTTGAACGCCTCGTGGCGGTACAGCTGTCTAATGCGACGCATCTGGTAGGGATGTGGCTCCCGCTGGCTGTTCAGGTCCCAGTCGCCAGCGCGGGCCAGCAACGAGTCCTCGCTGTAGTTGGCCACATTATGGGCGCTGGTCAGAACCATCTGGGGATGGATCAGAGAGCCGCCGCAGATATAGTTGCCCTCCATGTCCATCAGAGCCACCATCCAGGGGAACTCGGCAAAGGTGGACTCGCCGTCGTTGTAGCCATCCAGCTGGTAGTACAGACCCTTGGAATTGCTGTACCCGCAGCCCCTGTACTCGAAGTCCTTCAGGTTTTGCTGCATGCGACTCTGGCCCTCCTCTATCTGGAAATGGGCTGTACTTTATTCTCGTCCCCCCAGTGCCTTCGCATCTCTCACCTGCTCGTTCTCGGGGCAGCATATCTCCACCGAACGACAGCCGAAGTTGCTCGCCTCGTTGATGCGCGCCGTGATCACGTAGCGGCCGTCCATGTTCACGGACCCAGTGGTGCACAAGTGCCGGGGCACGCACAGCCGTTGCTCGCCACAGCTCTTGTAGTCCTCCAGCTCTGTTGTCGTTGTTTCTGGTTTGGTTGACGTGGCTGCCGTTGTCCCCACCCATGGATATCCCTTTCGCTGGCTGCGGTACTCGACCTCAGCCTCCTCGGCGTAAAAGTTCTCCAGCTGCTCCTTCTCGCAGCAAACCAATTCACGGCCACAGCTGCGGTACAGAATGCGAGTACCGAGCAGGCCCCGGCCAGAGTCATCCGTCTGGAGGCAGAGCTTTTTGGAGGTGCATATCTCCAGATCGGAGCAGCTGCGCTGCGTCCAGCCAGCGGGCAGCAGTGATAACAAAGAGAGCAGCACTACCAATCGGTCGGCCCACATCGCGATATGCTGTACAGGGCGAGAGGGAGAAAGAGAGAGGCTGTCTGTAGTTGGGAAAAACCAGTCGCAGATATTTCATTCACTTCAAACTGCGTTGCTTATACGCCGTGTGGTCTCCCAAGCCAATCAGCCAAGCAATCAAGAGGAGGAGAGGAGTCCCCAAGATAGTCACAGAATACGACGAATCGGTATTTCCCACTTACACACCTTATTATGTTTTTGTAATCCAATTTCAATCAGTTCGATGCGCAATTACGCTCCAGTTGAGATCGTTGTGAGGGCACGGCGCGAGTACAACTGAATGTTGGGACGGAACAATCGACAATCTATTGGGCTCAACAAAATGATACCGACAAAGTGGAGCTCTCGTCTCATCTGATCGTTCTCTTAATCAGCCAGCAGCTGATCCGCGATCTCTGTCTCTCTTTCTCTATCGCTTTCTCAGAATATTCGTCATTCCAAGCCGGTTCTATAAAGTGTCTAACGTTTTACTCAAATATTTCAGTCGACTTTTTGCGTGCGACCAGCAACGAGTTTACTTTGAGATACGCGGCAGATCTATCTCTATATAATCCCATACATACATATACATAGATATGTGAGTATGCAAAAGTGTTTACTTAGCCATAAGTGCATCGATTGCTGCATATATACTATATAGTAATGTTCGTTCAAGTTGTGGAGATAAATCAGTTCTAACGCATTCTATTTGAATACCGACTGCTGGGCTCCCATTTCAAAATTCTATTAACAAACAAAGAAAAAGAGATACGTATAGTGCGGGTTTGTTTTGATTATAGAACTCCCAATAGTGCGACTTGCTGTGTGTTTGCACATGATATTCCATTATAATCGTTTCCACGAAGTGATTGATTGCTGATAACCTCTGCTGCAGCCTCTGTGCAGTCTGTGGTATCTGTAATCGTTGTGTCTAATCGTTATTCTGTTTCGACCTGTTACTCTTAGTAGCAGTTGCAGCCCTGCCAAGATGAGCGGCACAACCGCAGACACAGCCACAGGCGCAACGAGCAGATGCCGGTTGCTGTGGATGGCATTGGCCATTGCAGCTCTTGTCATGGTGAACGCCCAGGACATGCCGTCGCCGATGTGCCGGGATGACGAGCTCTGCACCACAGTGATACACTGTACGGAGACGGACGACTCAGGGCGAAAGGGGATTGGACCGCGCATTTCCCGCTTCTGCGGCACGGGGAGGGTGTGCTGCGAACGCGCCCAGCTGGAGAGCTGGAATGCCTCGCTGGTCGATCGGGTAGGGAGTCAGCAGAGGACGAACAGGAGGCCAGCGGGGTCTTCGATCAGGGACAAGAACGGCAAAGTGCTGGAACCGGAGGCGAATGAGAGTTGCGGCATGAACATGGAGTGCGTGCCGCGGAAACTGTGCCGCGACAATATCATCATCGACGACGGACGGAGCATCATCAATCCCAGGATCGGCGTTGGACAGTGCAGTCGGTCCCTGCATCGCTGCTGTGAGGTGAACCAAAAGGTGAACTCTCCTCCCAGATGTGCAGGATCGTTTGCTAACTGCCTCTCAACTTCCAGGTGGATGCCAGCGATAGTCCGTATGTCGCGAAACTGAACGGATTCAAGTACAACAACTGCGGCTGGAGCAACCCCCAGGGCCTCATCCCCGACAAGGACAAGTACAACTACACGGAGGACGTGTCCATCTTTGGCCAGTTTCCCTGGATGGTGGCCATCTTCACCGGTCGCCAGCAGTACCTGTGCGGGGGCACGCTCATCCACCCACAGCTGGTCATCACCAGCTCCCACAACATCGTGAACGAGACGGTGGACACTTTGATGGCCCGGGCGGGCGACTGGGATCTGAACAGTCTGGACGAGCCGTACGAGCATCAGGGACGGCGCATCAAGCAGATTATCTTGCATCCGGAGTTCGATCCGGAGGCACTTTTCAACGACATTGCCATACTGGTCCTTGACGAGCCCGTCCAACTGGCCCCCCACATCCAGCCCCTCTGCCTGCCGCCCCCGGAGTCGCCGCAGGTCATAGACGATCTGCTATCGGCCACCTGCTTTGCCACCGGCTGGGGAGCCAAGGACCCCAACAGCGACAAGCTGGAGCGGACGCTGAAGCGCATCGACCTGCCGATAGTGGATCACGACGAGTGCCAGGCTATGCTGCGGAATACCCGCCTGGAGCAGCGCTTCCGGCTGCGCCCGAGCTTCCTCTGTGCCGGCGGCATCGAGGGCAAGGACACCTGCAAGGGCGACGGCGGATCGCCGCTCTTCTGCACGCTGCCCGGCCAGACCGACCGCTACCAGCTGGCCGGCATCGTCTCCTGGGGCATTGAGTGCGCCGAGGCGGATATTCCGTCAGTGTATGCGAATGTGCCCTATCTACGCGCCTGGATCGATGAGAAAATCAAAGGTCTCGGCCTCCAGGTGGCGGCGCCATAAGGATAATACTTGTCTTAGGTTTAATCTTAACCTTCAGGATTCGAATAAAGAAATGCAAGGCGATGCATAGATATTTAACTGAGGTCATAGATCCATGGCTATCATACAATCTTTGGGTTCCTTAGGGGGGGACGTACCTCCCAGTCGACTGATTTATTGAAATATTAGAGCAGAAATAATGGAGCTGCAAAGCATCTTCATGCCGGCAGCTTATAAATACTCAACGGGTAAAGAACCTCCTTTTGAGAACCCCACCCACCTTCCCCCCTCTCTTCAGGACATGCAATTAAGTAGGACTCAGGCAAGACGCGACCGGGAAAGTGAAACAACGGAACCATCTCGACGGAGGGGATTGAAGGGGTGGAGGCCTGCCTGGCAGGGCACAAGATTGAGAAATTACTCACTGTGCCAATGGCTGTACGAATTGCCACGCTCTTCCGCCGCCTTCTATGGCTTTTCCCCCTCGACTTGGTCCATTTCATTGGCCTGGAGGTTGCTCTAAAAACTCATTTCTCAAGTAAATGGTTTGAGCACTTTCCGTTGCTTTGTTTTTCATTTTCGCAGCGAGTATTTATTGGCAATTTTCAGGCCACTCGCCTTTCCTTCGTACTGATTTTGTTCGAATATTTCATCGAATGGATGGGGAATTCTGGAAACGATTCTACCATCGTTTGGTCTATAATCTTCCATCAGTCTTAGCTTGTGTTTTCCCTTTTCATTCATTGAAGAGTCCCCATAATTTTTGAATTTCATTATCAGACCCGAATACTTCTCTTATCGCCTGCATTTTGCGGCCCTCTTATCGCTACCCCTTTGGGTGCGATTTAAGTGAGTTTTAATCAATCGAAACAAGAAGAGTAGGGCTACTTATTATTGCTGATACTCATTGATTTATTGCAGTTACTCGTATGCGAGTCGTATGCGACTAGTAGGAAATGCCAGTGTGGTCGCGGATCCAGTCGAGGTAGCCGGTGACGCGGGTAAAGCCTGCGGGCTCGCCGGCCGTGCAGCCGTTCCAGTGGCCGAAGGAGGTGATGCCCACGATGCGGTTGCCCTCGTGGAGGACCAGTGGACCGCCGGAGTCGCCGTTGCAGGTGGACTGGGCGCCGTGGGTCTGGATGCAGATGGTGTTGTCGGTGATGTAGCTATCGCCGTATACGTTGCGGCAGTCGTTGTTGTCCATCAGCTGGACGTCGACGCAGTTCAGGTAGTTGGACATGCCGCTGTCGTTGGAGGTGTGCCCCCAGCCGGAGGCCACTGCCCACCAGCCGGCGAAGCTGTTGTAGCGATCGTTGTAGCTGGGCAGCTCCACGCGGTTCACCAGCGACCAGAAGTCAACGTGAGGAGTGCGGATCAGGCCGATGTCGTTGTTCAGATGGTCGTTGAAGTCGGGATGCGAGATCATGTCATCGCGGCTCACCCAGTGGGTGAACTGGGCCTCGTGGCGGAAGCTGGCGCCGTAGTAGATCAGCACGTGGTTGGCCTCTCTCGTGCAGTGGGCGGCGGTGAGGATCCAGTTGTGGCCAATGATCGAGCCACCGCACCAGTAGTTGTCGTTGAAGCTCAGGCCCACGATATACGGCACCTTGCCCTCGTATGCCGGATAGCCGTTGGTGATCCGACCCTGGATCTTCGCCGCACTTGGCATGTCCCTCACGGGAACGGGCTTGTTGGCCACCTCGGTGGGCACGGCGCTGGCCACGGCCACAGCCAAAGCCAAAGCAAGGAAAACAAACAGCTGCATGTTGATCAAATAACTAATATGGGGCATCTGCACCAGCCGCTGCTTTTATAGGGGTTCTCGGCTCGGCTCCTTATCTCTCGACAGAAGTTATTACACTCATAATTTTAAATATTTAACTGATAGGTTATCGATTCGGGATTTCCGATTTCCGGCTACACTACGTGACCTATGCCTTTGAGTCCGGAGATGACCATTTTAACCATTTGTTTGCCTGGTCCCAGCCACATTTATGCTGAATATGGATTGAGTTTCCATTTCGCAAGCTTGTTGAAAGCAAATATTTGCCTAATTGATTATCATTTAATTACAACGAAGCATAAAGCAAAATGCAGATTGCAAATTGGGGCTGATGGGTGCAGATGCAAATGCATCCATGTAACTCCAGCTCTGTATGTGTGTGTCTGAGCGATTGTGTTTCAGTGTGTGTGGATGTGTGTGTGTGCTTGCAATTATAATGCCCCATACCGCAATTGTGTGGCATACTTTGAGGCACAGTTCCTTGCCAGCTGCCCCTCTCTCTCTCTCTCTACATCTCTATATCTCTGTACTCCTCCTATCTGGGCATTATGCAGAGAGGAAATGGGGTTGTTGCATGTCTGTGGCCGAGCAACGGAAATGGAAACAGCTGCAAGTGGCAGCCGCCCTCCCCCCGTCCATCGTTCCCCCATTCGGTCATCTGTGTATGTAAAAAACGGCAAACCACTAATGTTGCTGGCACACACTCGCACACACTGGCTAATTGCAACGAGAGGTCTGTCAAACGCAGGCATAACCATGTTATTCCGATGCCCTATGGGAGCCCAGGCCCTTTAGCAACGTGAATGATCGTTCGGATTGTTCACCCACAGTCCAAGAATTACACACAAACGTGCATGCATCCCCACGTCATTGTCGCGCTAATTAACAGGCCGAGAATAAATTACGAACATGGAACATTTGCGCGAAATCCGAAACGGAAAAAGTCCGGTCCGGCCTGCCTTTGGGGAAGGTTGTCCTGTTTGAAACAATTAAATGCATGCCTGTTCCTGTCCCTGTCCCTGTCCCTGTTTCACGCTGCGTATACGCAATGCACTGTGCCACACATTACGTATGCGCCCCATGTGTCCACCTATCACATTCGCATGCGCATAGGTCCACGCATTTGGCTATTCTATGCGACATGTTGTCAGCGTTTTAGACAATTTGTTATGCAAATTGCTTATTAACTTTATGACCAGCCAGCCGAGCTGCAGCACCTCCTGCCACACTCAAAACATTTTGAATTGTCAATTAGCTGAGGTATTGCCTCGTGGCCATGGGATACCCATAACCAGTAACCAAATGAAATGAAATTTCTGGCATTATTTAAACACTGGCCTATCCCCCTTTAATGGCATTTCATGGCCTGGTTGGGCAGCAGCCACCCACCTGCCACGGATCGCCATTGAACAAAAGTCCTGTTGAGGCCATGCCAGAGCTGGGTTTCCGATTTTAATTTATGTCCTGCTCCAATTGCTGCTGCTCCTGGTCCCAATGCTCCTGCTGTCCTCTTACCTGTAGTCCTGCTAATGACATTGGCCCGCCATCGCTATCGGGAGTGGCCTTTAGTTTAATTGAAAAATTCTCATTTTGTGTTAGCCACTCGGCGTTATTTATGGCATTGGCCCCGATCGACCCATCGCCCGCGGCTAGAAATGATTTGTGTCTAATGATGTTTTCTATTTTTCGCTTGAGGGCATCGGCTAGGAAGCTAAAATCATTCCGAATTGGCTGCCACTAACTGAAACGTGAGAGGAAGTTCTGTTTGTGCAATCTCAAGTTTTCCAGAATTTCTGATAGCTTGTAGCTTTAACGGGGAGTAAATAATTTAGTACATGGCTAATATGTGATGGCAAAACGTTTCGAATTCTTTGCCAATGAATGTTCTCGGGAGCCGGCTCTTGCCCCATCCGAACGCTCGTAACAGCAGAATGCAGAGAATGCAACAAAGTGGCACAGACCCTAAATGCGTGTGCCAGTGCCTCTATCTCTCGCTCTCTCTTTCGCTGCTCCACCTTTCTCTTTCGTTTGGGGCCTGATGCATTTGGCAACATTTGCAGGTCCTCAGATCCCCCTGCTGCCCCTTCGCTGCTTTTTGGTGGCTTGTTGGTTGTTTTGGGCTCTGGGCCCTGTGCTACCCTTGGCGCAGCCGTGTCTTGGACATGAATTACGTTTACCGACAATTAATTTCAAGTGAAAATGTGCTAAAACTTTTAATTGGGCAGCCAAGTGGCTGATGGCGGAACGGGAACGGAACGGAAGGGAGCCAGTAAGCAAAATGAACGTGGCAGCCATAAAAATGTCGACAACATCCCTGGCAAAACATTTCATTCCACCAATCTTAATAGCAGGTGTATGCAAGCGACCCAGAGAACTTTTGGGCTGAAAGAAGATGCCATTTAAAGAAAAGATTCCGCTCCCCCCATCATCTGTTCGGTGTGATTTTCTGGTACCAATTTCAGGCATATTCCGCTGTACAAATAGAGGAAAAAGCAAGTGCGATTCACAAAGGACCAGCGGTAGTCAAGCAATATGCACGCTGCAAAGAGGCAAAGGATAACAATGATCCAAAGGCACCAAGCCCTTTGGTTCTTGAACAGAATCAGAGCAAAGAGCTGAATATTCCTTTGAAAGCGAATAAACACCTGCCGAGAAACAGCAAGCCATCGTCCAGAGATCCGCCTTGGTTCATAAGTTCATTGTTTGTCCTCGACAGTTCATATGCACATCCAGGTGTCCTGCGTGATGCGTGCGTCTCGGTCGCCTTGAGCTGACCCTTTGAACACAAACGGAACACTCCTGGCCCGCACTCAACAATGCCCTCTGGCACTGGACACTTTACTCTTGGCTCCCGAATTTAGATGAAGATTGGTAAAAACAGATATTAATACAAGATTTAAATAGAGTTCAGGGCCTGCTCTAGGGTCCTTGTGTCTCATGTTAGCTCGGTAGAGGATGCCAGGTGTCATGGATGTTTGGCTTCTTGGCCCATGGACCTTTCAATTTATCCTACAGCAGAGTGGAACCTTGTCTTTTCCAATGTTTGGGTTTCTCTCTGAAGTTTCCTGCCCTTGCCAGTAACTGTTGCCAGCTTGACTGATCAAAAACTATAGAAAAATTCGCTCAGGCCAAAGCCAACGAAGAGTAAAATTCTTGTAATTATTATTTCAAAATCCTGATTATGTTAGCTACGTTTGATTTACTTGGTTTATCCCAAAAATGATTATTCAAAGGACGCTTCGTCTCAAGGTCCCATTCGTTTTCCTTCTAAAGACAGCAATGGGGAAATTGAAAACACCAACAGTGCAGTGGCAGTGGCAGTTGGCAGTGGCAGACGGCTAATTATGTCACTTGCGAGTCCGGGCCCGACACTTTTCCAGCGATTGACTGTGACAACTCTGACTCCGGCTTTGGCATAGGAGGGAGCCGGTTCCTGCCAGTCAAATGCGATGGCGCTACAATTGCCATTGGCGCTGCTTTGAGCGGCAGGCGGGCAAAGAATGAGTGACATGCAGGCATGACTGTACTCGGAGCTCCGCATGGGTCTGAAGGCCGTACGTATTATGCAAATAGCTGAGTTCAATTCACACATATGTATGACAATGGATACATTTACCCCCAGAGAACGAGGGGACAAAAACTAGACTCTTGGCATGCTCGTACATGGTGAGTAGGTCAGGGTCGCTTGCCTTTCAATTGTGTGGCAGGAGATGGGGCTACTCAACCATTTGGGCCACCTTTCGACTGGCCAAAAATTCTGGTAGAACACACAGAGACAAACGAAGAGAAACAAGAAGACCAGCAGTACAAGAATCCACTCACGTACGTTGTAGCTATTTGTTCGCACACACAAGCACATTCCGAGCATGGATGGAAGCCTAAATTGTGCACTTTTCCAAATGGCCGCAAAAAAGCAATGGCGGAACAAGAACAACAACAAGAAGAAGAAGAAGAAGATGGCACTCTTTCGGAGTAGGATAGGAAATCCACATAGACACACACACACACACACACAGACAGCCAACAGTCAAATAACAATAACAATTCAATCATGTTCCCTGCTTTCATCTATGGAAATCTTCGAATGGAAACAAGCAACCTGCCAGAGGGGGCTGGTCGGAAGGGAAGCACTTTGAGTCCTGAGGGGGGAAAATGTTTTGATTTAAATTCGTTTCAGTTGCGACTGCAATGAGCTTTCTACTCTCCTCAGAGTTCCCTCTGTGCGACTGCGCACTGCAGGCCGTCCCAATCTAACCGTTAGTTATCTGAGAGAGACACAGGGGTGGTCTGTAGAGAGAGAGAGAGAGAGTGAGAGCGCAAAGTTTGGAAGGAGAAATAACCGTACGTGCGATGATTTCCCCCTCTTTACTGTCAGTTTTCCATAGTTATATGGGATAGAGCTGATAGCCCCCAAAGATCTAGTAGTCTTTGCCATACAGTTACTACCCCATATACAGCTCTATAGGGAGATTTTCGCCAAAATTCCTCTTTTTCCACCATTCCAAAAAACATTAAGAGTCAATCAAAACCGATTTCCATATACTTTTGAAATGGTACCATTTTCTGAATCGGTTGAAATTGGTGTGAAAACCTATTAAAATTAGCTAAAGTTCACTTTTCGGTATTATCTCCTCTAAGAAAGATGATCCTCTCTCTAAAGTATTGATCCCTCTAAAAGAAATCCCAGCAAATGCACATATATTTCGGCAAACGGTAGATTAGCTTGACCCGGACGGCCCTTAGATGAGGCACGCATAGGCCAGTATATAGCCCCAAGTTATACGGATGGGTGGTATGATACGGAGTGCGTATGAGGTTTTGGAGGTCCTCGGCCTTTTTGCCTTTTTGGCAAAGGCAAGTAGATCCCGAGGCTTCCTCCTGGAGGCAGGGGGCACATATTTAGGTATCCTTGCACTCCTTGCCCGTGTGGAGCCAGGCAGTCGCTGATTAGATTGTCCAGGGTTTCGATGGCACCAGGCTCTTCA